CTAGTTTAAACAAATCTACTCCATGAAGAGAGAACTTGTTGTTTGTCACTATTGATTCCAGAGAGCCTGGTGGGGCTGACAGTAATTTTATAGAGCTTTTATGAAAGATGAAATTAATTTTCCTCTTAAATATAGTCTGTTTTATTATGACATTAGATTATCAGAGCTTGTGAAAATCACTTTAATGGGGAAATTTCTGTCCCATATGCTGCTTTATTTTCCATACTTGCCTGAGATTTCGGTTAGTGTCATTGATCCTTCCAAGAAAATGAAAACAGGAAAACCTAAGTGCTCTCTTTTGAGATGGGCACTCTCTGTGCAATGGAAACATAATTGTACCAATGTGGATGAGCAGATGAGCTCATTCAGGCTCAAGTGCTTTAATTTTTGCTCATCAATGGTTTATATTGGCCAACTATACCAATAAAATGATCTGGATAACTATAAATATATTTTAGGTGAAATCCAACCTGTGAAACTTTAATAATTATTTGCACACATATATGAATGGTAAACCAAATGTCTCTCATGACTATTATAAAAATATCTAGATTCCTTAGATGAAGAAAGCCATTAGTTTTCTGTAGTGCATATCTTTACAAACAACATCTTAAAAAGTTGCTGTATATTGAGAGTCAGCCAAGTGTTATTCACATTGCTATGTATTACATTATATACTTTATTTCTAATCCATAGAATGCCCCTGAAAGGTAAATATTATTATTAAATTATTAAAGACTGGACAACTGAGGTTCAAAGAACTTAAATGATATACTCGAGGATAAGTGTTGGTGCTAGGGCTCACATGTAGACACTTCTGATTAGGATCTCATTGTGCAGCTTCTGTTTTGCAAGATCTTTTATAAAATAGCTCATATATATATTGTGGGGTCAGGGTTAGGCATTTGGCTTCTGACCAGGGGGTCAGTGGTTCAAACCCATCAGCTGCTCTGTGGGAGGAAGATGAGGCAATCTTCTTCCATAAAGATTTACAGCCTTGGAAAACCAGTAGGGGGAGGGGGAGGGGGAGTTACTATAAGTTGGAATTGACTTGATGGCAGTGATTTTTGGGTTGTGGTCTGTTTATGACTATTAGATTGGCTTCCCTAAAGAAAGTTGATCTGTTTGCTCCATTGTTTCTGAATTACACTGTATAGTTAAGCTGTGAAAACACATAGACAAGAATCACTTGGGGATCTATAACAACCACCTGGGATCTTGTTAAACTGTAGAATCTGGTCCAGTGTATCTGAGATGGAAATGCAAATTTTCAGCAGGGGGTCAATCTGTAATGAACCTGTTCAAAGCCCAGGTTGGTAGACATATTAAAATGTAATTGCACTGAAGAAATGGATATATTGGGTTATATATAAGTTTCTGAAAACCAAAAGCCCACTGCCGTTAAGTTGACTATGACTTATAGGGACCCTATAGGATAGAGGGTGGTGTAGTACCTAAGGCATTTGACTGCTAACCATAGGGCTAGTGGTTCAAACCTACCAGCCACTCCTTGGAAGGAAGGTTGAGTAATCTACTTCCATAGTAATATCACCTCAGAAACCCAAGGAGGGGTCCGCTATGAGTAGGATCTGACTCAATGGCAGTGCATGCCCCACAGCATTTCTAAGGCTGTAAATCATGCAAGTAGACTGTTTTATCTTTCTTCTAGAAAGCCGCTGATGGGTTCAAACCAATAACCTTTTGGTTAGCAGCTAAATGTTTTAACCAGTGTGCCACCAAAATTTAGAGAAGGAGTTGCTGAGTGGCACTATGGGCTAAGCTCTTGGCTTGTAACCAAGAGGTTGTTGGTTCGACTCTACACAAAGGCACCTTGGAGAACATCCTGGCAATCCACTTCCAAGAGATCCCAGCCACTGAAACCCTCTGGGGTGTGGTTTTACTCTGACATACATTATCATGAGGGATTATCATGACTTGGAAGCAACTTGACTGCAAATTATTTTCTTTTGAATTCAGATTTTTTTTTTTTTAAATGCTGCATTCCTGAAGTGAATATTTAGCATGCTAAATGTGTGTTGATTGGAGAACACGTTAAATTTGGATCATAGGAAACCTGAGTAGCTGAGAAAGTAAAGAAAAAATAGAACTTATCTGTCTTTCCAAGTCATTTAGAATTTGATCTCAAATAACTCTTCTAATGTAGACTTTCTCTTTTCAAACCCCTTCAGTATTAAATGTCCTCCAAATAACTTGTACTTTCCTACCACTTTACCTTTGTTGACACTTTCATTACCTGAAATATCCTTCCCCGTGGCCACTAGCTCTCAGTCTTTCTCTTTTCCCTTGTTGAAGACCTTTTTCTATCATGCAGTTCCTTCCGAGATCCTCTCTCCTCTGCACCAATGCAGTATTATCTTTTTGAAACATGCATTGGCAATTTGACATTTACTTTCGGATTTTATTTTATTTTTTTCTTATTTATAGCTCATCTCCATCACTAATCATGAGTTCTATGAAGATTAATAATATCTTCACCTCTTTTTATTCCACCTCTGAAGGAAGACTGGGCAATCTACTCCCACAGAGATATTGCCTTGGAAACCCAGGGAGGTGCCGCTATGAGTCAGATCTGACTCGATGGCGGTGAATTTTGTTTGGTTTGCCTTGAACATAGTGTACTCATTGAATAATCATTGATACTTTTATAAAAAACCTATTCATACAAAAATACCAGTTATGGGAAAGAAATACTCATCAAAAATGGTCTTTGGCTAAATAAGTCTGAAAAACACTATCCTGTTCCCCTTGTAGAAAATATATAATGTATATTGACATTTTCAACACTTTGAGGAGTACATTACTTTGAGGAGTAATGCAACTATTTTGTTATTTTAACCAACTTGCCAGCTCTTCTCTCACTTTTTTCATGAAACCCTTATTAACGTATTATTCTCCAAAATGTTCTTTGCAAGATAGTATTTTAAAGTGTTTTTGTATAAAATGTCTGCTAATTATATTTGCAAATGTAGATATTGAATTTTTATTAGATGTCCTTTGGGCATTATTTTGGTCTGCCTGCTTTTGTATGCGGAAAAGCACCACTCACCTATCAGCTTCGTTGGTGTGTGTGTGTATGCATGTATACATGTGTGTGTGAGTGAAACATACAGTGTGGACTCAACCTGAAAACAAATTGAAAAGAGAATGACTGGGACTGATCTTTCAGCTTGATTATCTGCTGGAACCTCTGTTGCTTCTCATAATATGCTTGAGAAGTTTTATTTGTACCTCCAGGGCAATGAGCCTGGCCTCATTTACATATATAAATGCAAATATTAGCAGTGCATCATCTTTTCCTTCAGGCAGTCTTACTGTCGACTTGTTTATTTACTTCCTCAGATAAGGAATATCCATTTCCCTGAAATTAGACACAGCATAGTTAATGGGAAAAGCCCATGTTTTGGAGTCAGAAAGTTTGGAGTTGATTCCTAACTCAGGCCTATATGAGCCTGAGCACATTTTCATTTCTAAGCCTCTGACTCCTCATCCATACAGTGAGACGGATCACACCTGTCTCTAAGTATACACCTATCTCTAAGTACATCTTCAGAGGCTTGAGTAATATATGCAAAGCCCTTAACAGAGTGCTTGGCACAAAGTGCTTGATAAATATTAGTTGCCTTTGCAGTTAATTTTATGATGGACAGATCATGGCAAAGAGAATGCTACAGGCAGAGACTCACACAGAACTGCCTCTCTCCTATAGTTGTCATTCCCTATCTCATGTTGTTATTTCAAAGAATAAGTCATATCTCTATCCTTTGTGTCCTTTGTTTTCATGAGGAGACTGTGAACAGAAGAGTTGAATTATGATCTGTGAAGAGGGATATTTTTATTTTAAACATATGTGAATAAATAACCTGAAAGAATTTTTAAATCTTCATCATTAGAAATATAGAAAAGTAACTTAGAAGTGATTCTGTTACCCTTAACCTCTGTAATTGCAAAATATCATTCCCTGTTATTTTATATTTTCTGTTAAAATCTCATACTGTGATGTTATTATCAGTCTTATAAAAATTGAATTTATAAAAAGGTACTGAACTAATAGCAAAATTGGGAATCCATGATATTTGGAATGAAGTTATGTCATTTTTTTTTTAGTATAAATTTCATTTAATCCACTGGACTGTTTAAATGGATAATAGAGAATGTATTAATGAAAATTTAGCATTGGCTTTCAACTTCTGTCTTAACCCCTTATATAATTTTAGCCCTAAGCCCTTTTCCATTGTAGTTTCAGATTATTTATCACTGTTCACAAACAGAACAAAAGAATCATAATGTGTTAATCTTGCTTGAAGTTGCAATATTTAATGGTGAAAGTACCTAAAAGAAAATTAAACCCACTGCCATTGAGTCGAATCCAACTCAAAGCGACCCCTCCTTGGATTTCCGAGGCAGTATCACTATGGAAGTAGATTGCCCCATCTTCCTTCCAAGGAGTGGCTGGTGGGTTTGAACCACCAGGCTTCTGATTAGCAGTCAAGTGCCGTAGGCACTATGCTACCAGAGCTCCTAAAAGAAAATTAGAATGATAAAATTCTTCTTTATAGAGTAGGATAGAATGTTCAACATAAATTATGGGAGTTTCAAGCCAACAGATTACTCCTACCTTTGTTTTGCAGAAAAATACATACTTGTTACATTTGGCTGTTAATAGCATATAAGTCTCCTGCCATCCATAGCTAACTTGTTCTTAGAAGAAGCCAACCTTGTCCCCATGAAGGCTGACAAATGGGAGTTTTGCTGTGATATCTACCTTTCTAAATGTTAAATGATCTCTGGACAGTTTTTCTTGACATAAATATTATGAAAGGCAGCCAGAACTATCATTTTCCATCCTTTATTGGTTTAGACACCAGGTGTAGTCTTCTAAATGAAACTGAAGTAATAGAGGAAAAAATGGACCTCGATGTTCCTTGGACTGGTTTGGATTATACATTAATCATCACTTGTCTTGATCCTGTTGTTTATAGGAGAAGATGTATCAGGGAGTCTCTGCCCAGTGCCTCCTCCTCCAGAACGGATGACTTGTGAAATCCCCTGCAGAATGGACTGTATGGTGAGTGAGTGGACAGAGTGGTCATCCTGTTCCCAGTCCTGTTCAAGTAAAAACTCAGCAGGGAAGCAGACCAGGTCAAGAATGATACTGGCATTGGCTGGAGAAGGTGAGCATCAATAAAGATTTTAACATGAGAGTAACTTGTTCAAAATTGTTTCCCCAATAGATAACCGATAAATTTATATTGGGATATGGCCACTCATAAATTATCATTTTTGTGTACACTGCTTCCAAATTTCTCACTTTCTTACTGCTGCCATAACCAAAAAAATACCTTTAAGGAGAAGGATTTTATTTTCTCATAGTACTTGAGATTGAAAGACTAAATCAAAGTCTTGGCTGTGTCAGTTCTACTTGGGGCCTTTCTCCTAGTTTCTTGTAAGTCTTGATAATCCTTGGGCTCCTTTGCTGCTTACAGATGCATCTGCCTTCATCATCACATATCATCTCCCCCTGTGTCCACACTGCCCTTTTTTCAAATACATCATTGAAAAGAGAATATGTTTAGGGCCAACCCTGCTCTCATATTATCTCATTACCATAACAAAAAGAAAACTCCTATTCTTCACAGGGTCCTACGTAGAAGTACAGTGGTTTGTACTCCAACTTAACTTTTTTTTGAGGGATACAATTGAATTCGTGACACCATAGTTTCATTTCTATGTATTTTTTTTTCTTCTTTAATCCTCTAATTTATCATATAGTTAGGAAACTCTGGTGATGCTGTGGTTAAAGCTTTGGAAACCCTATAGGACAGTTCTACTCTGTCCTTTTAGGGTCACTATAAGTCAGAATCACAGAGTCACTGTACCAAAAAGAATTGGTCAATGTTTAACTATTCCAGGAGGTACCATATGCTCAAGAAACAATGGTACTGAAGGAAGAAGTCCAAGCTTCACTAAAGGAACTGGCAAAAAATAAGCCTCCAGAAATTGATTAAATGCCCATTGAGATGTTTCAATAAATGGATGTAGCACTGGAGGTGCTTACTCATTTATGCCAAGAAATTTGGAGATAGCTACCTGGTCAACTAACTGGAAGATATTGATATTTGTGCCCATTCCAAAGAAAGGTGATTCAACAGAATGCAGAAGTTTTTAAACAATATCATTAATATCACATGCAAGTAAAAGTTTGCTGAAGATAATTCAAAAACAGGAGCAGTGGTATATTGACAGGGCACTTCCAGAAATTCCACGTGCATTCAAAAGAGAAGGTGGAACAAAGGATATTGCTGATGTCAGATGGATCTTGAATGAAAGCAAAGAATACAGAAAGATATTTACCTGTGTGTTTTATTGACCATGTGAACACATTTGACTGTGTGGATCATATCAAATTTGGACAACATTGCAAAGAATGAGAATTCCAGAACACTTGAGTATAGTCATGAGGAGACTGTACATAGACCAAGAGACTGTACATAGACCAAAAAGAACAAGGGAATACTCCGTGGTTTAAAATCAGGAAGGGTATACGTCAGGGTTGTATCCTTTCCCCTCACTTATTCTATCTGTATGCTGATGAAATAATACAAGAAGCTGGACTATATGAAGAAGAAATCATCATCAGGATTGGAGGAAGATTCATTAACAACCTGAGATATGTAGATGACACAACCTAGCTTGATGAAAGTGAGGATACTTGAAGGACTTACTGATGAAGATCAAAGACCATAGTCTTTGGTATGGATTATACCTCAACATAAAGAAAACAAAAATGCTTACAACTGGAACAATAAGCAACATTACAATAAATGAGGAAAAGATTGAAGTTGTCAGGGATTTCGTTTTACTTGGATCCACAATTAACACCCACGGATGCAGCAATCAAGAAATCAGACATCATATTGGACTGGGCAAAATTGTTGCAGGGGAGCTCTTTAAAGTATTAAAGAGCAAAGATGCCACAGTAAATATCTTTCTGCTAAGACTAAGATTTGCCTAACCCAAGCCATGGTATTTCCAATCATCTTATGTACTTGAGAAAGCTGGACAGTGAATAAGGAAGACCAAAGAGAAGAGTTCATGCCTTTGAATAGTGGGATTGGCAGAGAATACTGACAATACCATGAACTTCCAGAAGAATGAACTAATCTGTCCTAGAAGTGAAGCTGGGATGCTCCTTAGAAATGAGAATGGGCAGACTTTGTCTCAAGTGCTTTGGTCATGTTGTCAGAAGGGGCCATTCTCCATTGGAGAAGGATGTCATGCTGGATGAAGTAGAGGGTCAGTGTAAAAGGAGAAGATAGTCAATGAGATGGATTGTAACAGTGACTGCAATGATAGGTTTAAGCATAGCAAGGATTGTGAGGATGACTCAGGGCTGGGCAATGTTTCATTCTGTTGTACATATTGTTGTTGTTGTTGTTGTTGTTGTTGTTATATGCCATCGAGTCAGACTTGACTCAAAGAGACCCCTCCTTGGGTTTCCAAGGCGGTATCACTACGGAAGTAGATTGCCCACATAAGGTCTCTAAAAGTCGGAGCCAATTCAATGGCACCTAGCAACAACAAGAGTCAGAATTGAGTCTATGGTAAGAGGTTTGGTTGGTTTGGGCATTTACATATTCATATTTAGCCCCTAGTTATGGTGGCACAAGTGGTTTGTGATTGGTGCTACTAAATGGTTTGCAGTTTGAACCCACTCAGAAGCTCTTCAGAAGAAAGGGTTGGAGGATTATATCCATAAAGAATATAGCCAAATAAACTCTATGGCACAGTTTTATTCTGTAACATATGGAGTCACCATGAGTCAAGGGACAATTCAACCACAGCTAACAATAACTACATATATCCACCCTATAAATCAGGTGGATGTTATTTTTCATCATTCTTTCTTTCTCTTTTCTTTTTTTATGAGAAGGAAGCAAAGCTTAGTTGACACTTCCTATTTCGAGTAGGAGCTCTGGTAGCATAATGCCTAAGGCACTTGACACCTAACCAGAAAGCTGGCAGTTCAAACCCACCAGCCACTCCTCAGAAGGAAGATTTGGCAATCTATTTCCGTAGTGATACTGCCTTGGAAACCCAAAGAGAGGTTGCTATGAGTCGGGGCTGACTCAACGGCACATAACAACAGCATATAGCTTAGAGCATAATTCGAATATTTTTGGTAAAAAGAGATCCCAACTAAAAATCAGGAGACTTGGCTTCTTGAGCTGGAACTACCACTAACATTGCCAAGCTACCTGATTCTTACACCCTGGGACCCTGTTCTGTCATGCTGGCTTGTTGCAAGGGGGAGAAAGATGAAGGCTATGAAAATGCCTTAAAAGAGCTATGGGAATGTAGATGGGTGACATCATAAAAAATTAGAGGAGCAC